GTAAACGTAACATTCTGTAGTGCATGTAGTTATTGCCCAGCAGGCACACCATGCCATCAGACGGTAATATTAGGTTAGATTTGGGTCGTGGCTTCAGGTGTCTAGCCAGCATCTAAGGACAACATTATTTTGACGTCCAATATTAGAATGTTGACGTTAGAAAGTGACCAAAATCATTCATTCATTCATTCATTTTCATTTTGGTTTAGTCCATTTATTAATCTGGACTCGCCACAGTGGAATACCCAGTCCCCCTATAGCGCATGTCAGGGACGGATTGGCCATCTGGCAAGGCAATTCTAGCAAATGCCAGAAGGGCCGGACCATTTTTTAAATGTGGGCCAGTCTGTTTTTTTTTTATATATATGTATTGTTTTTACATGCAGGCAGCTTTTATCACTTGCAAAATATGAATATTACGATGATAATGATGATGATAATAAAAAATGTTAAGCACTTGGCCCAATCAGCGATGTTCGGCTGGTTTTAAGGTGGGCTGACCCAATCAGAGGTTATGTGGACTTAATCAAAATCTGGCAAGAATGTCAAACAAACAGTAAGTGCAACACAAGCTAATTGTCAGATGTGGACCGTAAAAAATGAAAGGCTCAGAGAAAGCAAAAAAAGGGCTCTAAAATCAGACGCTGCCAAACGCATCAAATTAAATGAAATATTCTTGAATGGTTTAAATTTGGCTGCTGCATTGGAGGACAGTAGAGAAGGTTCATTCATTCATTCATTTTCTTGTCGGCTTAGTCCTTTTATAAATCCAAGGTCGCCACAGTGAATGAACTGCCAATACTTATTCATTCATTCATTTTCTTGTCGGCTTAGTCCTTTTATTAATCCGGTGTCGGCACAGCGGAATGAACCGCCAATACTCATTCATTCATTCATTTTCTTGTTGGCTTAGTCCTTTTATAAATCCAAGGTCGCCACAGTGGAATGAACCGCCAATACTCATTCATTCATTCATTTTCTTGTTGGCTTAGTCCTTTTATAAATCCAAGGTCGCCACAGTGGAATGAACCGCCAATACTCATTCATTCATTCATTTTCTTGTCAGCTTAGTCCTTTTATTAATCCGGGGTCGCCACAGCTGAATGAACCGCCAATACTCATTCATTCATTCATTTTGTTGTCGGCTTAGTCCTTTTATCAAACCGAGGTCGTCACAGCGGAATGAACCGCCAATACTCATTCATTTTCTTGTTGGCTTAGTCCTTTTATAAATCCAAGGTCGCCACAGTGAATGAACTGCCAATACTTATTCATTCATTCATTTTCTTGTCGGCTTAGTCCTTTTATTAATCCGGGGTTGCCACAGCGGAATGAACCGCCAATACTCATTCATTCATTCATTTTCTTGTCTTTTTATTAATCCGGGGTCGCCACAGCGGAATGAACTGCCAATACTCATTCATTCATTCATTCATTTTGTTGTTGGCTTAGTCCTTTTATTAATCCGGGGTCGCCACAGCGGAATGAACCGCCAATACTCATTCATTTTGTTGTCGGCTTAGTCCTTTTATTAAACCGAGGTCGCCACAGCGGAATGAACTGCCAACTTATCCAGCAAGTTTTTACACAGCGGATGCCCTTCCAGCCGCAACCCAGCTCTGGGAAACATCCACACACACACTCATTCACACACACTCTCATACACTATGGACAGTTTAGCCAACCCAATTCAACTGTACCGCATGTGTTTGGACTGTGGGGGAAACCGGAGCACCCAGAAATGTTGAAAACCAGAAGTGTTGAGAAACACTGTTCTGTATGTATATTCATTCCTTTATTTTTCATATCCATATGCATCACTCTGTGTGTGTGTGTGTGTGTGTGTGTGTGTGTGTGTGTGTGTGTGTGTGTGTGTGTGTGTGTGTGTAGGGTGTATAACTCAACATGTGAGAAGTCTTTGGATCTTCAGCGTGGTTCTGATCTGTGCTGTACACTGGATAACATCCCTCTCATCAGGTAAAATCACATCACAACTAACTAGATGTGCGGAAAATATAGATTGCTGAACGTGTTTCTGATGTGTGTTTCTGATGTGTGTGTGTGTGTGTGTGTGTGTGTGTGTGTGTGTGTGTGTGTGTGTGTGTGTGTGTGTGTGTGTGTGTGTGTGTGTGTGTGTGTGTGTGTAGTAAGTGTGGTGGTGTTCCTCCAGAGAGCTGCTGGTTCAGTTTGCTGTGCAGTGCTGCTTCATTCATAGGTGAGTGATGTGATTCAATGATTCAGTGATTCATTTCTGAACACTCATCTGATTCCTACGACTCTTTCAACATGCTTTATCTGTTACTAACCTCTTGATAAGATTGGCAGCAGACAGAGACAGCAGAGATCGTTCATCCTCATGTCCAGCTGTAGAGAAGAGATGTCTGTGGAAAGAGAAAGTTACAGCAATTCATTTATATATTCAGTGATTGGTCTGTTTTATTTTACTTTTTTCCAGTGTCTGTGATTGGTCCGTTTTTGTGTTCCAGCATCTGTGATTGGCCTGTTTTATTTTCCAGTGTCTGTGATTGGTCTGTTTTATGTTTAAGGGTCTGTGATTGTTCTTTTTTTGAGCTGCAGTATCTGTGATTGGTCTGTTTTATTTTCCAGTGTCTGTGATTGGTCTATTTTGAGTTGCAGTATCTGTGATTGGTCTATTTTGAGTTGCAGTATCTGTGATTGGTCTATTTTGAGTTGCAGTGTCTGTGATTGGTCTGTTTTATGTTCCAGTGTCTGTGATTGGTCTGTTTTGTGTTGCAGTGTCTGTGATTGGTCTGTTTTGTGTTGCAGTGTCTGTGATTGGTCTGTTTTGTGTTGCAGTGTCTGTGATTGGTCTGTTTTATGTTTAAGGGGTCTGTGATTGTTCTTTTTTTGAGTTGCAGTATCTGTGATTGGTCTATTTTGAGTTGCAGTATCTGTGATTGGTCTGTTTTGAGTTGCAGTGTCTTTGATTGGTCTATTTTGAGTTGCAGTATCTGTGATTGGTCTGTTTTATGTTCCACTGTCTGTGATTGGTCTGTTTTGTGTTGCAGTGTCTGTGATTGGTCTGTTTTGTGTTGCAGTGTCTGTGATTGGTCTGTTTTGTGTTGCAGTGTCTGTGATTGATCTATTTTGAGCTGCAGTGTCTGTGATTGGTCTGTTTTATTTTCCAGTGTCTGTGATTGGTCTATTTTGAGTTGCAGTGTCTGTGATTGGTCTATTTTGAGTTGCAGTGTCTGTGATTGGTCTGTTTTGTGTTGCAGTGTCTGTGATTGGTCTGTTTTGTGTTGCAGTGTCTGTGATTGGTCTGTTTTATGTTCCAGTGTCTGTGATTGGTCTGTTTTGTGTTGCAGTGTCTGTGATTGGTCTGTTTTATGTTCCAGTGTCTGTGATTGGTCTGTTTTGTGTTGCAGTGTCTGTGATTGGTCTGTTTTGTGTTGCAGTGTCTGTGATTGGTCTGTTTTATGTTCCAGTGTCTGTGATTGGTCTGTTTTATGTTTAAGGGTCTGTGATTGTTCTTTTTTTGAGTTGCAGTATCTGTGATTGGTCTATTTTGAGTTGCAGTATCTGTGATTGGTCTGTTTTGAGTTGCAGTGTCTTTGATTGGTCTATTTTGAGTTGCAGTATCTGTGATTGGTCTGTTTTATGTTCCACTGTCTGTGATTGGTCTGTTTTGTGTTGCAGTGTCTGTGATTGGTCTGTTTTGTGTTGCAGTGTCTGTGATTGGTCTGTTTTGTGTTGCAGTGTCTGTGATTGATCTATTTTGAGCTGCAGTGTCTGTGATTGGTCTGTTTTATTTTCCAGTGTCTGTGATTGGTCTATTTTGAGTTGCAGTGTCTGTGATTGGTCTATTTTGAGCTGCAGTGTCTGTGATTGGTCTGTTTTATTTTCCAGTGTCTGTGATTGGTCTATTTTGTATTGCAGTTATTGTGATTAGTCTATTTTGTATTGCAGTTATTGTGATTGGTCTATTTTGTATTGCAGTTATTGTGATTTGGTCTATTTTGTATTGCAGTTATTGTGATTGGTCTCCTTCGTTATGCCCAGCTGATCCATAAACACACCAACAGTGTGTTGAACATTGAGGGTCTGTTTGCTGGATGGCTGTGTGCCGCAGGACTCATGATTGTGGGAAATTTCCAAGTAAGAGCACATTAAATTCATTTAAAATCATCCTAATCATAATAGTTTTAATGACTCATCTCTAATAACTGATTTATTTTCTCTCTGCAATGATGACAGCACATAATCTTAGACTAGATATTCTTCAAGACACTAGTATTCAGCGTAAAGTTGCATGTAAAGGCTTCACTAGGGTAATTAGGGTAAAGTTAGGGTAATTAGGCAAGTCATTGTATAACAGTGGTTTGTTCTGGAGACAATCCAACACTAATATTGCTGAAGGGGCCAATAATATTGACCATAAAATGGCTTTAAAACAAATAAAAACTGCTTTTATTCTAGCCCAAATAAAACAAATAAGACTTTCTCCAGAAGAACAAATATTAGAGGAAATACTGTGAACAAATTGTTTAAATGCCATAAAACAGTGCTTTAAAATTTCTCACACTCTGAACTCACACACATTTGCATTGATCCTGAAAGCGAGTGCTTGTATCTGACGCTGTGTTTGTGCTGTGTTTTCCGCAGGTGGATCATGCTAAAGTTCTTCATTATGTGGGCGCGGGTCTCGCCTTTCCAGCCAGTCTGCTGTTTGTGTGTGTGCAGACACTGCTGTCGTACCGTGCATCAGAAACACACAGAGACGTGCAGATCGCTCACCTGCGGCTCATACTCACCGCCATGGCCTTCACCACACTCACTCTCAGTATCCTACAGTCTCTGCATGGCCAGGGTTGCCAGGGTTTTCACAAAACATTACTCCTGCTGCTCATTCAAAGTATTTATTTAAAATGAGTTGATCAGTTTCCCAGAGATGGGTTGCAGCTGGAAGGGCATCCACTGCGTAAAATGTGCTGGATAAGTTGGCGGTTCATTCTGCTGTGGTGACCCTGGATAAATAAAGGGACTAAGCCGACAAGAAAATGAATGAATGAATGAGTTGATGAAAGCAAATGTAAATTGTTTCATGTTCAATCTACCTTAAATTTGTAAAAACAATTAAGTTAACTTTAATTGGTCTGTGTTGGGACAGCAGGAAGCAATTGTGTGGAACCCAGAATTTTAACAGTGAACAAAACTAGACCACTCAAACAAGTCTATACACTATACTATTTTTATTTGGGGTTAGGGTAGGGGAAGGTGTTAATAAAACACAATTTTATAAGCAATTTAATAAATAATATGATTAATACCCAACAGATTTACAGATATTTTTATAGTGAAATGTAAATGAGATATACGTAGCTAGTCAAATTAATATTTGATGCATATTTAAGTTGCATCAGCCTTGAGTGCCTTTGCTCCTTAACCTTCTGCCTGCAGGCGGTGTGTTTTTCATCCAGGAGAGTTTCGTTCTTCAGCATGCCGCAGCCATACTGGAGTGGATATTTGCCATCATCGTGCTGGTCTTTTACAGCTCGTTCTCGCTGGAGTTCGGCTCCATTTCTTCAGAAACACTCGCAGCAATGATGACCAAACAAGACGGAGCCACCGAGGAGGGACGCAAACTGGAGAAAGTCTAGAAAACAGCTGAGAACATCAGCCTTTATGTCTTGCTTTTAGTCTGAATATCTAAAAATCCTTAAATTAAGACGTATAAAAAGGGAAGCTATTATGCAAAACTGACTTATATAAGGAGTTTGTGTGTC